ATATATATATATATATATATATATATATATATGTTAGACTCGGAAGATTAATTGTCCAACCTGTAGTTTGTGACAGGAATTGGTGGCTTCACATAAGAATGGAATATGATGTTCTCATGCTCATCGGTTAAGCACACTCTTCCACAGAGATCGAGTGAGCCATCACTGCCACCTCCAACCATTTTACATGCTAATGCAACTACTTGTGGTCCTCTTGCTCCACCACTAATGGCCAAATTATCACGAAGTCCTAAGTTTGAAAAGCGACCAATTATTCCCTGTAATAATGTGCACCAAAAGTTACAAATTCCCAATGAATAATTCCAATTTTTAATATTAATAAAAAAAAAAAATACACAGTTCATGTTTTTATGTATTAACTGCACATATTTTTATCATGTAACAGGAAGTTCAAAGTCAAAAGTTGTACAGCATTTGTTCCAGAGTGTTGGCATTTTTCTTGGTGAATCCTGCGAGAATTAGGGCTGTCAAACACTTTCAAGCAAAACTTGCACCCTCTATAGGCAAATATATCTCTGCATTCCTGCTTTGGCAATGGACCTGGAAAAGCAGATCGAGTCTCAAAAAATTCACAATGATCATCAATCAATAGATAATTATCTACTCCGTGTATTCAAAATAGTTATTAAGAAAGATTATCATTACCTATGAGATGTTCCCTTAGAGACTCAAATGACCTGCAGTGTTTCCTGCAAATGCCACAGGTTGGCTCATGAACTGAATGATACGAGATCCTCATGTGCTCCACAAGGTGCTCCAGTTTGTTGAACTGTCTGAAGCATGCTGCACACTTATTCCTACAGTAAGAAAAGCTACATATTACACATATCCATGTGTCTGCTAACTATGAATTAAGAGAGTTAAGATGCTCATGCAGCCTTGTATACATGATGTGTGTGCTTGTGCATGGATGTCAGAAACAAAACCTGTGAGTTTCTGTACTCTCTATTCTGCAATCCATGATTGTTTATAGTGATGTATGTATATTTGTTAAGAAAGAGTTGAAGTTGAGGTCAAAGGTGGAGGGGAATGATATTTATAGAGAAAGGGTACAGGTAAGAATTGCCCCAACTTGCATAAACGGACAATTCCCAAAGAATTATTCAGTATATTAATTTGGGATTCCCCTTTTACTTTTTCTTTATCTTTGACCATGCTTGCTTCCTCTCCTCAACCTTGCAGCAGAGTTTATGGTAGGGTATAGCATTCTTCCATTCCTAATGATCTATGTAAGTTCCAGATTCTTGGGTTGGGTCCATTCTTGTTGTTTCTTTCATTGACTTTGGCTCTCGCGTTGCTTTAGTGTATGAATTTCTTTGTTTGGAAACCAACCAATGAATGTTCTCAAACCCTTATCCATAAACACACACCTTCTCTCTCATCACTGGCCACATGCTTCTCTAGTTTCTTTTCATCCGGAGAATAATCCACTAGTAAAAAGAAAATACTAAAGCACCTATTGTGCTTAGGTTGATCAGAAACCAAAACATAAGTTGGTGCGGTGGTATTTTTGAAATTTTCGCTTATTTATATACCTCAATTCTATCTCAACCGAAGCTATAAGGTATATACGATCACGGTTATGAAGGCAACCTAGGCCATAAAGTCTGCGAAACTTTCTAACAAAAGACTTTTCATCTAAAAAAATATTAGTACAAGGGTTTTGGCCTCGATTGTTCACAGAACCGAGGCTGCTCCAACTAATAATCCTATCTATAGCTTGACAAAATCTCTGTGGAGGGGTTTTGGCATTGGTTGTTCTCAAAACCGAGCCCAAAAACCCTTTGCCCCATTGACAATCCCCCTCAGCACTCTATCGTTTGAAGTGACAGACTTTTCTAAGAGGGATTTATGGCCTCGGTTCCTCTTACAATCGACCGAGGCGATAGACCTGTTGTCAGTTGTAATGATCAGATTTCTTGACTTTGAAAATTAATTAAAATATATATTTTTTATTGGATTTGGGACCATTTTTTTGAGAATCGAGGTAATAAATCCCATCTGCTTCAGTTTGGCGCTTAACCGAGGTAATATGGTTGATTAAAATTTCAAAAATGCTACTTAAATTAAATTTCAATTTTTTTTTGAACTTTAGGCTTCGGTTCTTTGTAGAACCGAGGTAGTATATCCCCTACTGCTTCAGTTCTTTGTAGAACCGAGGTAGTATCCCTTGTCTAGGGTTAAAATTCCTCGAAAACGCGAACAGTTCCTTCTTCTCTAGCGATTTCACTCTGCAACTTCTTCTTCTTCCTTATGTCGTCGCTAGCTTTCTCCTTGTTTCCTTACACCACTGTTGCATCGCTGTTGTCACTGTAGAACGACTTCCTTCCTCACTTTTTATCATTTGTATCCAATCAAATTGGACTTTGGTCGTTGGAGTTTTTTCGCTTTTTTTTTTTTGCGTTTTTGGGTTGGTTTGATGCGTTTTTTATTGTTTCGGATGATCACTCATGTTTTGTTGTATTTTTTTGTAGATATTGTGTTTTTGCTTTGAAATTTGTTCCGTTTCAAAATGCGGGTTGTCGCATCTTCTCCATTGTTGAGTGGTTTTTCACACTCCCACGTTCCTATTATTCTGTTTATTAATTTTCTTTTGTTAATTTTTAATTTTTTTGTATGTTGAATATGAACAATTATGTATGCTTGAATGTTTGAATTGATCATTTGAATGCTTATTAATTGTATGATTGTATGATTGAATTAATTGTATGTTGAATATATCGTATAATTGTATGATTGTATGATTGTAATTTTTTAGAATATTTATGTATGGATCGAAACTGGATTAATTTACCATGCATTAGTGCTGAGTACGAGAGAGGGGTAGAAGAATTTATACAATTTGTGCAACTTAATAAGTGTAGAAGAGATGATGAAGTGAAATTTAGATGTCCTTGTATCAACTGTTTGAATGAGAGAAAGTCGAACGCAACCCAGATTAGGGAACATCTTATCTGTGATGGTTTCCTATAATGCTATACAACACGGAGATGGCACGACGAAGAAATACACTTTTGACTGCCTCCCAAACTGAAAATGTTATTGATTCCACCATGGAAGAAAATCGACTGGATGAAGACAAATTAGAGGACATGATCCGTGATGTTGGCGCAAAATTTTTTGCCAAAGCTCATGTGTGTGAGACAATGTGCGTGTTGAGGATTGCTAGGATATTCTTACCACTACAATTGGACGACATGAGCACCCTGGACGAGTGCATGTTGCTGGTATTGGAGTGGGCATTAAAGATTATTTTGGGAGTTCTTTGCATCAGACTTCATATACATACAACGAAGATTATGAACAACGACTAAAGTAAGAGATCTCAAAAAAGCTTAGGGCGAAATTGTATGATGAAGTCACTAAAAAAATGACTGACAGAGTTATGTGTCAATTCCTATAGTAGTTTGAGAGTTATAGGATGCGCCCGCAGCCATCCTTTGTACAGGATCATGTTGTGCCTCCCACAAGTAAAATTAGTAAAAAAATTTGTTGAATAATTTATTATTTGTATAATCTACAATTTACTGTGACAGGGAGAAGCGGGAAAGGAAGTTGTTTAGCATCAGTCGTCCCACGGGACGACATGGACGATGCTAGTCCATGTCTGCTATATGTTTTAGATGGTACATGGACGATGCTGGTAGCTCGTGGAACAGTGTTCAGGCAGCGACTATTGTTCATGATATGGAGCTATCAGAGGATGAGGTTAAGGTCTTAGTAGATGATATTATCATACTAGATGCCTAAGTTCCTCTGCCCACATATGAGATTTTCACTGTGGCACAAGCATTCCATTCTTTTATCGCTTGGTCTAAACACTTGGTTGGTTCTATTTCTGACCCCTGCTATGGACTCTTACTTTACACTTCTTAATTTTAAAGTTTACATATTATTTATGTCGAAACTTATCACATTTTTCCATGTAACAAGAGACGCATGGACAAGAGAAGATTCATTTATCTAAGGACGATTCTCTTGGTGCATTGCACCAACTTTTTGACATCACTGGAAATGAGCCTATGAAGGTTGAATATGATCCTAATGTATTTGGGAGAGGCTCTAAGGTCCCAATATAACTGCATAGTCAAGATGTCAAGGAGCTTGTGTCGGAAAGAGAACAGTTGAATATTACATTAATTCAGTTATGGATGATGTAAGTCTATGAGCAATTATATAGATAAAATTGATTTATATATCAAGTATACTTATATAAAATATAATTTTTGATTTCAGGTATATGTTTGGTGTTAGTAACAACTTGGGGTATAGTGATGTCCATGGGTTCATTCATCCCCAAGTCACTCACGAAGCAAATAAATTTGATGACATCCAGACATACCTCACTAGTAGATTTGGAAGTGAGAATGAGATACTCTTTATCCCTTATATATATGGGTAACTGGAGTTTGTTAACTTCAAAGTATCATCTGTGATTTTAATATATTAAGTTATTATCAATTTTGGGCGCCATTAGCAACTACTTATTCTTTCCATACCAAAGAGCTATGTTGTGTGGTTCTGTTCATTGCATAAGTCTCCTCCCAAATATCTCAAACAAGTAGTTGATTGGTAAGAACCTCAATTTTTGGACTTTCTTTGTTATATAAATGAATGCTAAAGCCTTTTGTTTTTAAAAGTTCCATTGTAGTACATATGATGTTGTCTGGGAGATCACCTGCTAACGGTAAAAAGCTTGCATGGTTGGTTCTCAAGGTTTGACATGTGTTAAAGCCATACTTTCTTATAGTTGTTTTATTTTAATGATTTTCACTAACTTTTTACAACTGTGATGATATATTGTAGTGTCACAAACAAAGTAGGTCATATGAGTATGGATACTACGTAATGTATTGGATGACACACACTATTCATGCCCATATTAGAAGTGGTAGGGAAATGGTAATATTTAAATTTAATGAATTTTGATTTTATCCATCATTTGGAATTCATATAGACTAATTAATATCATGTGTCTTGTGTAAAGATTCAAGACTCGTACTCCACTTTCTGAGAAGCCACTAACATTCCTAAGGAAGACACTTGCAAAACATTTAATTAGATTATACAATAGTTCATAGTTATTAGGATTTAAAATACATTATCACATGTTGTTTTATAGTCATTAGACTTTGTACATTATGCTTTAAACATTATGTGTCGTAAATATTGATTCTGTGTTGTATATATTGTGTTTTTTATGCCGGTATGTTTTTGTGATAGTGGATATCACAAAAACAGACATGCTATTAAAAATATTCCAAGAGAATAGGTCTCGGTTGTGGCCAAAACCAATGTAGAAAGTCTATCTATGGCCTCGATTCAACCACAATCGGTGCCATAGGGTGCACATGATTTATTTAAAAAATAATAAAGGGCTTTGACAACAGTTTTAGCTTGAACCACTGCCACAGACCCACATTATTATCTCGGTTGAACTCAGGTAATAATCCCTCTCCTCCTTTTTCTTTCTTCCAAACTACTTCTAGTGCAGAAGAACTGAAGTAGTATCCATTGAGATATTACCTCGGTTGGAACCGAGGTCAAAAGTCTCTCACATTATTACCTCGTTAGTATAGGTTTCGGTTTGAAAACCAAAGTGTATTATAAAAAACAACCGTTGTTATTTTCCTGCACTAGTGATCATTCGTCTTGTTTCTATATTCATAATTTATCTTTAACTTTTACAATAATTTATGTAAGTTCTTTCTAAATAAAAAGTAAAATAATGAGAAATATGTTTTACAGACATAAACTTTTTATATTTATTTTTTAAATTTTGACTTATTTTCAAATACAATTTTTTTATAATTATTTTATTTTATTTTTAATTTGTGTCAAATAAATATAAATATGTGTCATTATATTATTACTTAAAATGAAAATAAAATTATAATTAGTTTAGAATGAAAATTATTAGATATTTATTTTTAATTAGGAAAAAAAATGTTATTTGACATGACTTCTACGAAAGAATGTCAAGATAATGAGAGCCCAAAAGAATTGATTTAATAGACTTTTGCCTTTTTATCTTCACTACAGTCTAGAATCTTTGAAAGTCATTTTCAGGGGAGATCCTTCTATGTTCCATTTATATATGTATAATTCAGTTTTTACTATTTCTTATTTTTATTTAAGGTCT